GGTTTATTCACTTGGGGGGGGGGCAGGGGGGGGGGGGGGTGTATCTCGAGGAAGTCAGCTAGTAAAAGCAAAGGCAAATGCAGGTGGAGATGGAGATGGAGATGGAGCTTGATTGATTGATATCTTCTGATGGATGGATGGAGGTGGGATATATATGTGGTACTAGAAAGAGAGGTAGGTATATGTAGAGGGGGCGCGTGCTAGGTATGAATATATATGCTCGTGCGAATAATCGCGGATGCATCTAATATGCTATAGGGCCCTTCTGCAGTACGTGTAATATCTTCCTCTTAGTTTTATAGTTTCAACGTCTTTTGTATACTACCTATCTAACCGATCTAGTTGACTGCATATTTAAACTCCTGTAGTATTTCACCGCTTTCCTTATAAAAGGACCGCTGGTTATATACCTTTGTTTTCCTATAGCTCTTTCACTGCGCTAGCTTAGCGCCGGCAAGCTGCAGCCAGTAAGATGCCCTGCTTTGGGCTATGCCTGGCAACTAGGTTCTCACTCCGCTTTCTGCAACGCATTTACGTGACACATAAAAGATACTAGGAAAAAGGAGAGGAGCAGAAGCAATATCATATAATGGGGGCTTGTGTCAGATGAGAAACCAGTGATACTTATATAGTTAATAAAACTGCCAAGGTAGGTGACAACAAAACTACTCACACACCAGAAACAAATGTCGGTGAAAGGGAGGAGTAGCAGGTATATATGTAGTCCGGCCCCTTTACGAAAACCATTCCGTGTCCCTCGAGGAAATGCAATCAACTCACAATATCCCACTCCACTTCAAGTGAATGATTCAAGAGCAGACCCACCGCCAAAGGCACAAAGATAGTCGATTGAATATACACTACGAGCAGGCCTTGAATGTCGCAGACAGCCTAGAAATCAGACTTACTACCTTACCGTTCCTCATTGTAGGTGAGAGATCATTGTTACCTCATACTCTAATTGTTGTCATACTATAGTAACTTCTGCGAGGCTTCATTAGAGAGAGCTTGATCTTGCATGGCAGGCAGTAACGGCAACCACCCATCTCCTGAGTAATTACATACGACTCGCCAGTATCGAGATATATGTACCGAGTCCTTCGGGAAATATATCTTCAATGAAGGAAGTTCTTGAGCACATCGGCTAATAGTTGAGCTGGCTACATATGACATGAACATGTTGTGAAATACAGAGCGAGGGAGTTGATGAGATGATGTACAAGGTGATTTAGCAGGGCAGGAGAAAATTTTGATTGCCACTTGGCGTGAGTGCAAGATCGAATCACATGGTCACTTCACATATATGATGAAATGGAGTTATGGTTCACAATGTATAAACACCTCCGCAGTTCTATATTCAAGCTCTGCCCTCTTCCTTCCTTCCTTCCCCCAAATCTACAAAGTCAACAAAACACTAGGGCCTAGACATCAGGCCCCTATTAGCACTGTTGCCACCAGATCCAGCCCAACCAGAAGGCGTGCCAGCACCTGGAACCAGCCCCCAAAAAAGCCAGCCTGCTTTATACAAATCATCTTCCAACCTCAGGTTATAAACATTAAGTTAAATAGTAGGAGCCACGCCACACTACTGTGAAGATAAAAACGGATGACCACAGACCCGCTAGCGAGTAAAAATGGCATCATGCTAACAAAAAAGTTTCGATCGCAGTCCAGACCTTATTTACAGTGCGCACGAAAGCATGCCGCGACCTGTGGAAATCTAAAGCGCACGAAAGGAGGGAAAATATCGCTCATGTATGCAATTGCTGCCGACGCCGAGAATGAGCGCAAATGGAATCTAGCGTGGTATTATAGGAGTCCCCTTAGGGCTCACTGCGGTGTGAAAGTAGAATGAGGAAATGCGTTGAATCATTAGGATCGTGTATGCTAGATGAGGGGTTCAGGGTGTTTTCCCGCGTTTGCGCGTAGCATCATTACTGTCGGATTCGAACATGGTGCTGAAGCCTGCGAGTGTCCATGAGGAGGTTGAAGAGTGTATTGCTACGAGCCATGCTGCGGCAAAATTGACGAGGTAGTGGAGCATGTAGGCGTAGGTTACTCCATATACGGCAGCATAGATGGCGATGAAGAAGAAAAGGACACTCGTAAGATGACGGAGGCGGGAGGTCACTCTGGGAACCATTTGCCGCTTGTCAAGGTTTCAACAAGGAGGATGAATGGCATAATGGAAATCACGTTGTGGTGAGACGAGAAAGGAGTCAACCAGTGGACGGCAAGGTTGTGTATCCACACCACAAGGATCGGTAGGTTGATTGGGAGAATCCATAGCATGAGGATGAGAATAGAATGGGCGTAGTTGTAAAAGTTGTAGTTCGTATTCGAGCGGGCCTCCCTGGCGAAACGGAGTGCGCGTGTGCAAGTCGCTATTTGAACCAAGCAGGCAACAAGGTAGGCAAATTGGTATGGAATGACGGTTGACACCAGGAACAGTAAGATGGCAGTCGTCAGAATGCGCCTTCGAGGGGTTGATGGGGCGAAAGCTGGGGAGGCAGCTCTCCGTTTGTCCTCATTTCGTAGCCATGCAGGCTTCACGCTTAACCAACTGTACAAGAAGCTGAACACCTGCGTGATAGCCAGTGTTGCATAATTGATCATCACAACAACTCCCACACATACTAGTCCTATTAATGGAACCATGAACCAGAAAAAGGGATCCTGCGATCCCACTAGTAGGTCATTCTTGGTAAAATCAACCTGTGTTTCCGTTGCATTTCCTCGCCACCACCAAAATCCACTAGAAGTAGTTGGCGGTGGTGCCGAGCTTGATTGAGCAAATGACAATGCCAAACATGTCAGGGCGGCAAGCACCAAAGGCAGAGATTGGCGTAGGCACAAGTCAAGACTCTCTGTGAAAGCCATGAAAATGCCCGTATCATCATATACTCTGAACTGCTTCCTCAAAACAAGAGCAACTACAAGTAGAGGAAATGCAGCAAAAACTGTTCTATATCGCATATACAGCTTCCCAAAGCTGCCCGGAACATCGACCTTTAGCGATATTTTGACGCTAGAATTGCACGTAGGATCGGTCCAAAACTGAAGGCTGAGCCCGTCTTGTAAACTCTTGTGCTTGAGGGCGGGTGGCATATAGGGAGAAACTCCGTGAAGGTTGATGTGGGCTTGCTTGACGTTCACGAAATATTTGGACTCGTAAGGTGTCGAGATGTATTGTCGAAGCAGGGGTGTGAAAAGCTCCGCTTCTTCCCCACAGACTTGATTGCCCATCTCCAAATTGTATGCCAACAAGCTTGAGTGCAATGCAGGAATTTTGACCTCAGTTACCATTGGTCGATTTGGAGGAAGCTTAATCTTCATCCCAAATGCAAGCAATCGTCGAAGACCCAAGGATCGAACTCGGTGTGACTGCACATTATCGCTAAACTCCGCAGTCACCCATCCTGGGGCCGGATTTATAGCCTTGTCGACGATTGCAACGAATTGATGGTCCAAAATATCTTCCAAATCATACTGCAGGTAAGAAAATGGGAGAACTTCGTCTTCCTCGTCCAAATAGAACGGCTTCTTTGTACTCCTTGTCGACGCAGGCAACAATATGACATCGGAGGCAGCGTTCTTGCACGCCAACCTTGTAGACCCAGAACTATCTCCAGAGAGATCCATATTCATCGAGAAAAGAGTTGCTGACTGTCCAGGATGTAGAGGAAACACACTACAGAACAAGACCTCCAAATTCCCAGCGTCGCCTGGGTTGTCAATTTTCTGGTCCGTCAAAAGCGTGAAACGCTTGCCACCAGGAGTACCTTGAGGAGGCACAGGGAGCAGATGTGCGCGAGGCTTGCGGGACTGCCCAAACTTCCGGAGAGTCAAACGTTCCCCTTGAGCAATGATCGAATTTGAGTTGTCCTCCAGCGTGAGAAGAGTCGTTGGCTCTTTCTGAGACAATGTCTTCTCAGCAATACTTTCCATCCCCGTCAAGTACCACTTCTTGAATATTCTCATCCTATCAGCCCGAGGTTTTGTTTGCGCGGGTCGATTTACGTCAATCACATCATAGAGAGATCTAACCACAACCTTCCGGAATTGATCGCACCAGAGAATGGCTTGGTGGTCCATACTTGTCCAAACATTCGGGACAGAGGAAGTGAAAACCGTAAATCCATGTGTATCTGGCACCAAAGATTCCAGACTAGCATAGTCCGATGGAACCACTGTATCCAAACCGCCTCCAGCTATGGATATCAAGGTTACGTGCCATAGCGGGTTGTTGTTGGCCCACTTCTGCGTATAAGCCTGCCTCCAGTAGTCATTAATTTTCTTGTATGTCTTGACGATTTCTGCATCGAAAGAGACTGGCGGTCGCGCATGCGGAGCCGACATTGTAATGATTGTATTAATCGAATTTGCCTGGTAATTTGGCATTACCAGCATCGTTCGTGCCACCACTCCTCCCATCGAATGCCCCAATATTATTACTGATGTAGGATCCGGTAGATCCGGATCTCGTTGAGATCTACGAGGGTCATGATACAACGATAAAATATACGCAACTGCCTCGTTCAAATATTCCGCTTGATCTAGCAATGTTTGTCCATGGAACGCTGTTATATCTTCGTTGAAGTCGACGGTAAAGAAATCTAGGTTTCGAGCACCTGCATTTACAGCAGTAGAATCGTGCCGTAAAACATCGTGAAAATAAGTCGCCCCCTCTGCTGCGATGGGGCGAACCTGCTTGTAACTGCCAGCATTGCCAGGTATGAAGAGGACCGGAACTCCTTTGACCTGAAGAAATGTGGGTTAGTAATGCACACTCCATTTCTATGTTCCCATACCTTGGTATCCTCGTCTATCATCCCTTCTCGATACAGGTACACTGAGTATTTGCTGGCAAAGCGCGTATGTTCCGTATCGAAATTGGAGAGCTTGGCAAACGAAGGTCTCATATACGACATACGGCATCCCTTTGAATCCAACTGACGGCTAGCAAACGAGTGTATTATGGCGAATAGCGAGAGCATGGCCAACGCGGTGGTAACGAGAGTGAGGAGGGAGCATGACCACGGACTTCGAAGTTTCGATCGACGAGCATTTTGCCGTCCCTCGGACATCCTGTCAGCAGCAATAGCCTCGTTCAAAGGCACACTGATTATGGGCGGTTCGCTCGGGCGGCTTTTGTCTAATTGAACATTGCGCAGATCTACAGGTTTCCAATTGCTGCTGCTCGGGTGCCTGCTGCGGGCGGACGATGGTCTCTGGTCGGTGCTCTTCCGTCGATCCAGCTCGTGCGATGTATTATGAGGAATGACCTGGTGGGAAGAGGTGGACTGAAGCTTCCTCGATTCCCTTTCCCTCTCCGTTTTGAATGTCGATACCGCCTCGCCCCCTGCTGCTCCGTCAAAGGGTGAGCTCCCGGCGGCATTCGAGGGTGAATGGGCGTCGCCTTCTTCCTCTTCGGCGGATCCAGACGATCGCCTCCGCATCTAAAAGACTTGCACGACCTTCCAACTCCGTCGCGACGATGCAATCGCTCTGGAGGATGTTGCTGTGCTGCTGCTGGGGAGTTGATGATTGGGAAGAGGTACGGAGGTACGAGAAGTCGCGATAGGCGATGCGAGCACAGGCAATTTGCTTGAGCCAGGCCAGGCAGGACAAGCGCCAATAAAAGTTTGAAATTTCGCGAAGTAGCAAGCAGCTTTTAACGAATGACCAGTGACCACGGCCGGTTCCTTCTCTAGTGCGCCGTATATCTACCTACGTACCGTACCAAGTACCGTAACCGTGACCGTGACTTTTTAAAGGTTGATTATTGCGGGAGAAGGCATGGATTAGACATGTACGTATAGTTATGGGCTTTGTTGCCGCCCTGCTGAGAGGGGGAGTGAGCGACAGTGTGGAGATGGAGAGAGTGAGAGTGAGGGGGAGGGAGGGGGAGAAAGACAGAAAAGAGAGAGTACAGTAGCAAGGTGTCATGGCATGCTGAGCAAGGCAGAGCAGGCATAGCAGGCACGGCACATAGCTCAAGCAGCACTACTTGGCTTGGTCACATTAATGTGATTTGGCTGCTCCTGTGCTACGGGCCTCATCTACTCCGTATGTATGCAATTATACCGGTAGTGCTCTGGATGTACTCGCACAATTACTATTATTACATACATGTACCTGTGGCCACCTACATATTGCAGTACTGTCAGCGGCCTGGGTTGAATTGTATTCTCCAACATTGTCAATTCGCCGAAGAGCTGTTCGCTGCAACTATGCATGTGCGCGTACAAGGATAGGGATGTCGAGAGCTCCGAAAAGCTGTTGCATGCAGCTGTCCGGGCCGCGAAATGGTTGGGAAGCCACCGAAATCTTCAAAACCAGGTGGCTAGGCGATGCGATGAACTTTATTTGCATCCGCTTCCGGTGTATCCGCAAAATCTAGATGTCCTAACTCCATGTCGTAGGATGGAAATTAATTAGAGTAATTAGTCTTTTTGTCCGTCCAGCGCTTGCGGCTCAGATCTGAAAGGGTGAGTGAGATAATGAGATTGCCTTCATCTCACTACTAGTAAAATGCGGCCAAGAGCACACTCCAAAAGTTGCTTGCTTCAACGCAGCCTTGCATAAGCTTGTGCATCGTACCATAATCTTGGACCATTGGTAATTGAGCTCAAGTCCTGTCCCTGTCAAGTCTGACTGCGGCTAAGACTAGACAAGCATGTTGGGTTCTCTGAACCTGCACAACGTTGGGTTTCTAATCCTGTATACGTCCAGTAGTATCCAATCAAGGTTGCAACAAACGTTTCTCCGTCACTTGACGGGATTCTTGCGGAGCTCGAAATGCCACTACCATACCAATAGCACGAAATAGTGACGAAGTAAGAGCGTGGCATGCATGAGGCTATCATGACGTGTGCACCAATCCTTATCCATTCTGTTGAAGAAGTGTTACAGTACTAGAAAAGTCGATATCACATCGACATTCGTATCTAGGACCATATTGACGGAAATGCCCAAGAAGCACCGCAATAACCCCGCGTGGAGATGCCCTCTGCCCCCACTCTATGGAGTCTTGGCTGAATTTATCCGATGTCCCGGGGGGTCACAGCCGGATGGCTGCAGGTGAAGATTCCCATGTTGGATATGGGATTGCTTGTAAAATGAACAAACAAAAGGAACCAACCTGGTGAACTCAACTCTGCTCTTGTTTGAATATAGCAGTGTCCTTTAGCTTCCAGTATTCTTCTAAGAGGTAATAAATTAACAGCACTGCTGCTTGCCAAGTTGCTACTTACGGTAACTACCTTAAGCTCAAGACTAAAACAAGCTGCCGTATCACTCGAAAGCTTGTCTTGTAGGTCTCACGAAGGCTTGAAAACACGCTTGGGGCTCATGCTGGTATACGCGGCAAGTTCTTGGCAAAGGAGAGACGACATCAGGTTTTAATATCAAGGTTTCAGAATACTATAACAATTTATGGCAGATTGGACCAGGGAAAGATCCTCGAAGGGAAAATCTAGCTTACTCCGTAGGTTTGCCCTTGAAAAAACGAAATATGCGGAGTTGTGGGGTAAATACCTAGTAAGTTCGAATTGAGTATCAGAACATTTCACTTACATCTCAGACTCGACGCCCTGTTGAGCGGACGTAAAAATGGGCCTATCAATTCGGAGTTCGCAGTCGTTGGCCCCGAGTTCCAAGTATCATGAAATAAAGATTTCAGAGACGAACCAAACAAGCTACTTATTATGATTGCTCTTATATCCAGGCAGTTACTTATCAAGTTTCACGCTTATATCCCAGATTAGACAGCTTTTTTAATAGTTGGTTGAGATAAATGTGAGTAGTTATTAATTTCTGGAATCCGCTTTGTAATTTTATATTGTTTGAACAAATATATTATCACTCTTTCCCCTTTGATTTTGTTCATTACGGAGGTACCGGTGAAAAGGTCCAGATGATTTGATATTGGCTTCTATCTACTCTGAGTGGCCTGTATCTACAACGTGTCGCTCGCTAAGGTATTAGAAAAGTACAGCGTTCCCAATATGTATACAAATATATCCAACAAAGGCACTCGAAAACCCTGTCTCGAACGCTGGAAACTTCCTGTTAGTCTCCCGCTATGGCGTCACACAACCCTACGATTTCCGGCTCAGCAGCCTGATCCTCCAAAATAAACTCCGGTGCCAGAATATCTAATATCCATTCCAAATCCTCCACGATCGCTTGGCAGTCGAAGCTTCCCTGTTCGACTCCAAAGTCGATATGAGGCTCTATCCATTGTGTATTTGTGCCAGCGCTTTGGCCGAAGGGTACAGAACCATACTGGAGAAAGTTAGTGATCGTAATTGCTAAATTGAAATGGATTACGAGGCATACGTAATGGACTCCAGCGAAGTTTGCCGCGTTGCAAGTAAGAAGCGTGCCTCTCTCGTTCACCTCGTGGTATTCCGGCATCGACCAAGAAGTATTGAAGCAATTGGTGCCATTCGCAGATGCAACGAAACCTTTGGCCGCTGCTTGGATCATAGCGGTGCGCAGTTTGGCATCACTGTAAACACCCGAATCAATGCTCACAAGCAATTCGCCGTTTGAAGCAGGTGAGGTCGCCTGGCTTTCAACCCATGTGATTCCTTTAATCGTGGCCGTACCGGATGGAACCGTCACGGTTGATCCGGAGACTGGCGAAGGGCAAAGTGTTTCCAGTGCATTGGATAGAGAGGTATACAAGGCGTCACTCGTGAGTGTCCCTACGAGTACTTGGTTCTGGCCCATTGTGACGTTGACGGTTGGCTGGGAGGGCGGTGCACTGATTGTTATTACATTACCTGCGCACATTGTTTCGCGGAAGCCGCCGTAGTTCTGGATGGTTGAGCTCTGGCATTCTTCCACTATCGTTGTGTCGCCGTCAATCAAAGTTTTGACAAATGGGTATAGAAGGTTGCCACCTGTAGCAGCGGTGGTTGTAGTCTTCGACGGGAGTGGTGGAGGGGTTGTGTAAGGGCAGGGGACGTAGTTACTACCGGTATTATTCCCGGTTGAACTGGCCACAGCCGTTGATGCTCCATTGCTACAGGTGCAAAAATCGGCAATATCTTCATGAGGGGCTGCATAGTTGTAACATGCGTAGCTGACAGATGGCTTTGGGGCAATGGCCGAGGAAGATGTTCGGTTTGAATAACCGGTGGAAGTAATTGTATTTGAATTTGACCTCAAAGAAGTAACAAACGATGCGGACTTGGATGTAGTAATGCCTGACATAGAGCTCGCCGTGGAAGACTGGTCAAGATCACCTTGAAACATATTAGCTTTTGCCCTCCGCCATGATGCTCCGAGAGCTTTGGAGCTTTCTGGGAGCCACTTACATGTATCGTCATCTTCGTCTCTTTTAGACAACCTTTGCCCGCTCTTTGGATGCCATGCCAACTTAACAGCCGGAGTTGGGTCCAGCTCCTCGAAGATCTTTACCTCAGCCACTCGATTACAAGGTTTGCGCCCATTCCCGTCATATGCAGAAAAGGGACTGTACTGTACAACAGTAACCCCATTGATATCGACTGGAACAGTAATATAACCAGGACTACCAAGATAGGTGCGGACATTAAACGTTGCCTGTGGAATAATTGAAGTGGTGGCGTTTTGTAACAATGTGATTTTAGATCCATATAGCTGAGTGGTGCTCCACTCTCCTGGCCTAAAAGCTCCATGTCAGCTAATATGCATATCGACTTATGCAGACTTTTGTTTAAACTCGGACGTACCCTGCCGCTTTTGTTAGGATGTAGACCTGAACAGTTACACCCTCTCCAAATGGATCGTCATATCGGCTGCTTTCCGCCAAGTCTGCAAGACTAACGAAATCAGGTCGATTTGACCTCTCCCCACGCGGTGTACGTTGAACAAGGAGATCGGCTGCAATTAACTTGAAAGATTCGTCTGATCTTAGTGTGGTCCCTCTAGTTGAACTATGTCTGTTGAAAGAGCCATATCCATCTACATAGCCCGAAGCTTCCCAGAAGTGAGAAGCCCAGAAGCCATATGAAGACTAAAAGAATATGCATTTTAGTAACCAGAATATAAAAGCAGCCGAAAGGAATAGGTACATACTACAATAAAAACGGCAGTGCATCCGCTCAGGCCCTGCATTTTCCAGGTTTGTGGCCTGTTACCAAATGAAAAAAATTCTGCTGTTATTCCGATAGGTACTCGTTTTTTCTTTCTGTCTCGAACGAACCAGTTGGTAATCTGTCTGTCACTTGGTACAATTGCAATGTTGTTATTAGAGTTTTCAGGAACGCTACTCTTCAACCGTCTTATGAAATTTGTCTGGGTATTGGCGCCTTCAGCTGGGTCTGGCTTTAGCAAAGGGTATAACGGGGAGTCTTGCGCTCTTTTGCCAACCACACTCCCAGAAACAGTCGTAGGAGCAGATGATAGAGATATGATTTCTGTGACAGCAGCAGAGGCGAGGATAACCCCAGACACTGTAGAACAGTCTGGGCATGATGGGGCTGTAGTAGCAGCAGGAATCGACACGGCTATTTGAAAAAATATTAAATCAGCTTTAGGTATATTCCTTGTTACGCTAGGTAAAAGCAATGCTTGGGGTATAGATCACATACTGCTGGAGGTGTTTCCATGCATGCACATGGCCGAAAACCCTGGTAATGAAAGATCTGCTGTTGTCTCATCTGAAACAGTTCCATTGATATTAAAAACCGTCGAGTTTGAAGCAGTTCCATTGACAAAGGCATCTACGGCTGCCTCAATCCCCTCGGGAAGCGCGTGTGTGACATTGGGGGCATGAGCTGTGCTTGTAGGAGTATATGTAGAGCTGTCTCTAGGTATAAGGAATGCCGCATTGTGTAGGTACGTATGAGGTTCGGAGGGTAGGGCCATAACGCCCAGGAGACCCAGTCCCCATATTGACTTCTTTGAAAACATGACAACAGGATTAAAACGAGAGTAGTTTGATAGGACAAATATCAATGAAACACAATCCTGTCAGGCGTACTAATAATGACTTTCAATAAAATGATGGTCTGAAACTCCACAAGGAATAAAATGAAATAATAGTAGGAGCAGAGAGGACCTACAAGTAGATGTGTTATATAGTCTTTGACTCGCATAGCACAATATAAAAATAAAAATAAGAAAGGCATGAGGAAGATGAGACGGATCATGGGGCTCATATTTCCTTTCCCAGTATGCTGTTCCTAAGGATGATGAAGTCTGATTCTCGACCCAGTATTCTGTTCCTAAGGATAATGAAGTCTGGGGCTCGGCCCAGTATTCTATTCCTGGGAAGTGAAAGCTCGAGCGTATAGAGTCATCAACCCGTTGCCGGTCAACTAGCCCGGTGCTTCAAGGAACGAGCTCAGGTCTAAGGCCTTATGCTTAAAATAGAGATATGGGGTATCAAGCTATATTGTACTCAACTTAGGAGGATGAAAATGTACTAAAAGGGGTTGGGATGCTCTACGGAGGGGTCTCTTGTCACCGTGTTATTAATTGACTACCTCGCTAACAACAAAATCATCACTATAGGTACCTTTCTGAGCCCCCTCTGCTGCGCCTTATCTATACTTCTCGCTCTTCAGTTTGCGCTTGTTTTATTCGCTACTCCGTGCGGCGTAAAAGTGATTCGATTCTATTTCAGGGTTTGAATGATACGCTGTGAGCAGTGCACACTGTTGGGATAAGGGCACTCTCCATCCGAGAAAAAGTATGCGGAATGAATTGGCGTGCACAGGCTGAATTCCTCACTTCCACTTCTAGATAGACAACGCAACACAAAACGTATGGCCACCTTTTACTAGCTAGTACGAAGTGATTTACCCGGGTATCCTATGATACCAACACACCCTGTTTAACCAATCATGTGGCTAGAGGAACGAGTAATTCGAGTCCCGCTTATTCTATAGTGAATATTTACGGTGATAATCCAGTGATCTGCTGCATCTAGGAGTAGGCTCATCCTACGGTTTTTTTTAGCTTATGCACGAGACATCTAATAATAAATATAATTTTATTACTCTGTGCAAACCTTAAAGACTTATTATCCAAACTTACCTACGTTCGGCAGTAACTTGCCAGATGTTTCCGTGTCCGTCACTCCATTATCCTCCACCTTTGCACTTTATATATTCTATTGCCTAAACATCATAGAATCTGAGAACGAGATGACACCTGAAAGTGGAGGAGCTAGCTGGGAAAAGATACAGCAGTCGCGCGAAGATGCCCTCGAACAAAGCTGGACAGCCTGCCAAAACGGTGATATTATTCAGGTCAGAGAGCTTTTTGGGCAGCTTGGTGGTTCCGAAGTCGAAATTTTGCTGCGGCGAGCAGTGACACGGAATTTTCTAGAGGCAACGAGAGTTTTGCTTAAGCAAGGCGCTGATCTGACAACAACTCCCCTGATCTCAATCGTCGAGCAATGTCCTATTGAAATGCTCCAACTTCTATCTAAGTTTGGAATGGATTTCATGTCTAAGCAAGAGAATGTTCTGCTGTAAGTCAGAAAGGCCTCCTTTAATCTCAAGCTAAGACCTGACACGCATACCAGATATGCTATTGATCGTCGAGACGTAATGGACTGGTTGCTTGATCAAGGACTGGATATCAATCTTGGGGGCAATCGAATATTAAAAGGCAAGAGCAAATTATACCGCGATAACACTGTGGCTGTTCTTAATGAAGCTGCTGCTTCTGGAGATATTGATTTCTTCGACTACCTTGTGGCCCGCGGTGCTAACCCCCCTCGGAGCAATGCTCTCCACCATGCAACTCGTTGCAAGGACCCCATTAAGGTAGCTGCTATGATCGGTCACCTTATCAAGAAATACCATTTGGATGTTAATGCCGACCCCAGATGTGGAGGCCTTAACGACCTTATTGAATTAGAATACAGTCCTGGATCTCCTTTGAATTATGCAGTCACAGCCTCTAATGTTGCTGCTGCCGATACACTGCTAAAGCACGGTGCGAATATTGCCAACGCGGAAAAGCTGGCGGAGAGCCGTGAAATGAAGAAGGTGCTAGGTGATTGGAGGTGATAGCTCCATGTTTATGTCTCATTCGGCAAATGCATACTAAGTGTCCCATAGTCGAGTCAAATAAGCAATAGCGAATAGTATGCGTGTTGAAGATATTTGAGTACTATGAGGTTGAAAGTAGATTACTCATTACCAACGACGGAGTTTCAATAGGTAGAACTTGGGATAGAGTGTTAAAAAGGGTTAGATAGTCACAACCCAATTCAGCAAGTACGCTGCCCGGCCCCCTTGCTGCTTGTATACTTCGCAGTATTGGCCCAGCTTTGATTCCTGATTGATCTCCCTCATTTTACAGGATAAGTCAGTCAATCAGTCATCAGTTGAGGTAAAGGTGACGATGTTTCTATGCCGCATCTAAATAAAGGAGGATCAAAGCTTTACGCTACTGCGGAGCATAAGATGATTGGTAGAAGGAACGACGGACAGGGTGTGCGATCGTGATTAAGCTAAGTTGATCCATAACTTTATAATAATCCCTGTATACCAAGGGAGCAACTGACTGACTAATGATTTGGGCGGTACGGAGACAACTAAGTAACTGACTGATCAGCAATGGCTAAAAGTGGATCCATACCGAAGATATACTATTTTACCAAAATAGCCTTGAATGCCGTTGCCATATGGATTGCCCCTTCTAATTGCCAGTCTTTAAGGCATTCCTAATGCTATAATAATATCTCTAACAGCTTACTAGAAGCCTCTATAGTCGTCTGCTTTGCGCATAAAGAGAAAACACACTTATATTTAGAACTTTCGCTAGGATTAATAAAAAGTCAAATGCTATTAGAGCTGCGAGCCCCTTAATTTCCACGTGACAGATCCAGACATGTGGATCCTTATACTAACCAAGCCTAAGCTATGCTAAGTCATATGACTAGAAAGGTGGGGACACATGCCATTTAAGGCTGAAACCCGCTAAATAGCCCTATAAAAATCCCTAAAATCTGCCCTGAAAGCACCCTATTATTAATGCCTTTACTACCTTTAACTGATCAGTTGCTGATTAATATATTTGTAACTAACTGACTGAACTGGGTTTTAACTCTAACTGACTGACTAATGTTAAAGGCTTCGACTGATGAACTGACTGAAAAGCGACTGACTTATTGGCCAGTCTGTTTACAGCGATACTAAAGTAAAGCAGAAAAGCACGACCACCCATAAGCACAATCATACCGGAAAGTATATATCAATCATATTTAATCCTATATGCTCTCTTGCGAATCTGTAAAGCTGAGACTCATTTTACTACCTAAAGAATTACGGTTTACTCGGAATCCAGGACCGAATCAATTTTCACTGTCAACTACGTTTTCCCCAAGTCTTCGATAGGTTATATTATACTAGGAACAAATTCCCGGACCTCGGGCTATTACTCCGTACGTTTTTATTCTGATACTTGTACCATGTCACTTTATCCCCGCACACGTGACTGGGATACCCCTCCTCGAACAACAAGTTCAAGTGTAATTGACGACCATCTCATTGTCCTCTCTCATCCTTCAAATCTCTTACATCCCCTTCTTGTTTTCTCCCTTATTTTACCCTGTCATACCATTTGGGTAGAACAAGTGATTTTACAAGTCGCGCCTTTTGCGGCCTTTCCAATACAACAAACTCACCTGATTATCTATCTGCACATCAACAGCAGATACCTCCTATACACCATCCTTCACTTCTTCAACCTCCACATCTCACTTTTGAACCTGCAAACATCTTCCCCTTCCAAAAGTCAAATCAAACAAATATCTCTCAAAATGACAACTACAACCAGAGACCCCAAAGTCCTCTCCTCGCGCCTCGCCAACAAAGTAGCCATCGTAACCGGCGGCGGTTCTGGGTTTGGCGAAGCAATATCCAAGCGTTTCGCCGAAGAAGGCTGCAAAGTCATTGTCGCGGATCTAGATCCAGTCGGCGGCGAACGAGTGGCGACTTATCATGAGCATAGTATGCACTTCGTCAAGATGAATGTTGCGCTGGAGGAGGATTGGGAGGCCGTCGTGGAGAATACGTTGGGGAGGTGGGGGAGGATTGATGTTGTGGTTAATAATGCTGGGACGAGTTATAAGAATAAGGTTAGTTTGCTTGTTTTCTCTTGTTTGTTTCTTGAGAAGTGATGGTGTGGGCTGTGTGAATTGAGAGAAAGGATAGAACTGGGCTGATGAAGGGAAATAGCCAACGGCTGAAGTGACCGAAGATGAATTTGACAAAGTGTTCGCTGTAAATGTCAAATCGATCTTCCAGTCTGTTCGTCATGTTATTCCCAATATGATCAATCAAGGGGAGGGTGGAAGCATTATCAACATTGCCTCAATCGGTGCTACTAGACCAAGACCGGGACTCGTCTGGTACAATGCTAGCAAAGCTGCTGTTACAAACGTAAGTACCTTTTGCCAAACTTGAGAATTGCTTGCTGATATTTGGGAAGGCGACGAAAGGACTGGCTTCTGAATACGGCGAGAAGCAAATCCGTATCAACAGCATTTGCCCCCTTCTTTCGGGCACTGGATTGTGAGTTTTTGATATGTTGTAGTGGCTTTCTGAGCTGACCATTGAATAGATTTGAAACATTCGTAGGTGTACCATACACGCCCGAAAACGTGAAGCAGTTCATCGGTGCCGTACCCCTAGGACGTCTCACGGACCCGGCTGATATCGCCAATTACTGTCTGTTCCTGGCGAGTGACGAGGCAAAATTCATTACGGGGACTTGCCTGGAGATAGATGGTGGGAAGGGAATTTAACATCAAGACGGAGAAGATTGGGTTGCAAGGCAAAGGAACAAAAAGGGTTACCATAACCAAAAGTCCAAGCGGGACACTGTGCATTATAAGACTTACATATGAATAGCTCGAATCCAGAACTCTTCCTCTCAATGTTGTGGCTTTTGAAGCATGTAAGTATTAGGGATCAGGGTTTCTCGCGGCTTCTGCTTAGAAGTGAAACGCAGAGGTGAAGAAGATGAAAGAGCAAATGGTAAAAGTAATTTACGGGAAATATGGTTGAGAGAGTTGAAAGAGGCATTTCTTCGCGAGCTTGCTACCCAAATCATGACATCCCACATCTAATTATTTCTGCCAGTGGAGTAATCTCTACTCAAAGTGAGTATTTTCCCCATCACTGTTCTAATCAGCCTTGAAAGTTCCACCTATGATCCTATGAATCTAGCTTCCAGATCCGATGTCGCCTGCTTGGATTTTCTTGAAAGCTGCAACCATGTCTTCCTCAATCAAAGCTCTTTTTGGAGCAGGATCTATGCGATCCCATAGTGCGAGAATGTTGGGATCTAGATCTGGGTTTTCTTCTATCAGCAATATGTATCTAACAATGACAGCTCGTGCAATGGTAGTCGAAACCACTGGCGCGGCCTTTATCCCGGCCGCTTCACACGCTAGCAATACGCCACATCTTTTCAAGTGGTTGGTCCATTGAGGATCGGAGAATGCGCCCAAAGCATAGCCGTAGGAAACTTCAGGTTCATCGGCCATCCACAGAAGACCAGCAGGGGAGACCTTGAGGCCTTGGCGCAGAATGGGCAACAAGAACCGCATTTCGGTGCCGTGAAAGAAAAGACTTGACTGGAAGTTGCTTCTTGTCATTCGGACGTCGAAGTGTGCTTGTGATTCTGGAACATGTTTGGCGACGATGAACTGATGAACAGACGCGGGCACGCCTGGGATCTTCAAACTTCCAGTAGCAGGTACAATATCATGTCCAAATTTGCCACAAATCCAACGGAGCATCTCTTGCGCTGGTGCGGCCGGAGCTTCAAGCGCTGCAGTTGACTCGCCTGCAGTCTTGAAATGTGGGATCTCGTTCAAGCGTTCTCGGATGATTGCTGCCGACTCGACAGGTAGAGGGCAATCAGGCATTTGCTTGTGATCGACGCTATCAACACCATCGAAGATCATCGTGGTCAGAAGGTTGACCACGGTATGGTCTGGTTGTTTTGAGTTTGCAAGGCCCAAACTTGCCACGGCAGTGGCAGGACCAGAAAGTAATTTAGAATCAACTTCTCCGATAATGTCAAACCTAGGGTCCTATTGTTAGCACAGGCCCTAGATTGTCTTCCGCGATGAATTGGCACACTCGTATTCTATCAGACGTTGCACACATTTCCACTTTTTCGCCGCCAAAATTACTATATCTTCGACTGAAAAAGGCAAGCCCCTCTCCTCAAGATCTTGATTATAACTCCATCCAGCTCCTCTTTTGCACCACATTAGGATAGTTTCGAAAGCGAGATGATTAGGGTCTGCACTTGCGTCGAGATATCCTAATTTCTGCAGAGCCCAAAGCGCTTGAAGTTCCGCCTTGAGTACTGTCTCTTTGAAACTGATATTGACTTCCCTTGGTGCTTTCTTGAGACGGGCAACCGTGATGGTGGCGAGAATGGCCAGCTTGTCGTCTTGCTCTGAGTCCGAAGGCATGATGGGGAGGAGAAGAGATTTCGATATGAAGATCCAAGCTAATCTGATTGTATTGAGGATAGTATTCTGCGTGTTGGAAAAGAAAATCAAACTTCAAGATGGGGATTGACCACCTTAAGTAGTAAAGAACATATGTAGTGCTGTCTGGAAAGCCCTGCGTCTATCACAGGGAACATTTGAACTTTTTCATCTATGCTTCCATATTGCTGTTCAACAATGAAAGTACAACATCGACCCTCTTCGCCCTGGTTCTCGGACGAACGCAGGTCATGAGTGGGCAAACAAAGATCGAATACAGAAGACCCAGAGAGATGAGACATCACCAGAACTTGCCGAGATGGTTGAAATCTGCTGAAGCATCTAAGAAGGATGGGAAAAATTAGATGGAACTAGTAGACATGACAAAACACCATATTCCCAGGTTGCACAAAACCCGTCCTTTGCTACTGGGCTTCGACTTCGTGGGGGCCAGCATGGCAATTTCGAGCCTTAAACGGAAGATGAGAGAAATGATGACGGCCATTTCATGTACTTGAAAGTTTAATGGGAAGTGTTCGTGAAGAGATTTATGAGCAGTCTATGGAAAAAGAAAGGGGACGAAGCCACGCCCAGTTGCGCACTTTGCGTTGGGGCTTGCTAACTTGCAAGTTGATGGATGACATAAATGGAGATTATAACTTTAATAATGACGCTCGGACTGGAGGTTACTGATGGGACTGACTAAATTGACAACTGTGTGATGACTAGAGCTTGAGAGAGTAACGCTCCGGCACAATAATCGCACGGGTCAGAAATTATACTGTACAGTATGCTTAGCACCGTTTTCGGGTACATCTCAAATATACAGAAACGTATTAGGAGCAACTTCGGTCACAGTATAAGGAGGCTTCAATGAACTCTCATGCTCCCTATACACCAAGCCGCTCATATGGTCACCAAACTAGATTTTTGACTCGACGGGCTGGTAAAAAACTCAATTCCGATGGACTCGTTCTGGCCTAAGAACCATCCTGCCATCTATCCAGGAAAAAGGTGATCCAAGACCTAAAGCGCATTGAACTTAGCTACCTCAATACACCCTTGAACATATCTAATAATTTTGTCTTGAATCTTAAGAGGTAGCCTTTCAATCGTCCTTCGTGGCGGCTTGGGTGAAGTTTCTAGAGAAGTAAATTTAGAGCGTACTCAGAGCAAGAAGTTAAGTTGCCGAGTAAGGGTTTAGGAGTACCCATTTTGAACGAAAAAAGGCCTTCTAGAGTTGGCTACCTTTGGGTACCTGTTTGAGAATTCACGGAAGAATATGAACCTGTCCGCATCGACATGCTCTTCCTGAACCCAAGGTAGATTCTCCCTGTGATACGCGTGTGAGAATAGTGTAGAAGTTTGGCTGAGGCAAACGAACCTTTATAAACAACGTGAAAAAGGGGCCCCTTTGCCTGAAAGTTGAAAGAAAGATAGAAGGAAGTATTCTCTCCATCGAGAACAAGTTCCCTAATGGAGACGGAAATTTAGTAATCAGATTGGGACATTGAGTTGTCAGATGGGGCAAGAACATATGTGCCATGAGTACAGAGGTAATTAGCACTTGTTATTCGCCATGAAAAATACGAGATATATACGAGCTGAAAACAAACATCTATGTTGATTTGAATAATGATGAGAAAGAAGGAACATCTCGCGTGAAAAAACCACTTCCAAAAGTGGCGCGTCTCACGATCCACATCGCGTCTCCCTCGAACAACCAAAAATGCCATGGCCACCATAAAAGCCATTGAAGACCGGACGGTATGCCCGATATATCATCTTCTTGACAGAATTATACTGACAATACACAGATCCATCAAATCCAGTCCGGTCAGGTCATCGTTGATTTGTGTTCCGTCGTAAAGGAGCTGGTGGAGAACAGTCTGGATGCTGGCGCAACGAGTATTGGTAAGCCAACCTCACCTACATGGCAAAGGTGCAGACCCTGACACCGAATAATAGATGTGCGCTTCAAAAATCAGGGTCTGGAGTCTATCGAGGTGCAGGACAATGGCGATGGCATTTCTCCGAACAATTACGAGACATTGGCCCTCAAACACCATACCTCGAAGCTCTCCACGTATTCGGACCTAACGACTCTACAAACCTTCGGTTTCCGTGGCGAAGCCTTATCCTCACTCTGTGCGCTGTCCAAGTTCTCCGTGATAACATGTAGGGTAGCGGATGCGCCGAAGGGCACGAAGCTGGAGTTCGAGGTCTCCGGGAAGCTGAAAGGGACGAGTGTGGTAGCAGCACAGAAGGGAACCACTGTGTCGGTAGAAACCCTTTTCAATAATCTTCCAGTCAGAAGAAGAGAACTGGAACGAAACATAAAGCGGGAATGGGGGCGAGTTGTGGGTGTTCTTGGTCAATATGCATGTATTCAGACGGGCATCAAGTTCTCCGTCTCGCAACAAGCCGGAAAGGGAAAGAAAACCACTCTATTTTCTACAAAGGGCAATCAAACTACAAGGGAGAATATTGTCAATGTTTTCGGGGCTAAGACGCTCACGGCATTAGTACCATTGAACTTGGATTTAGAGTTGGAGCCTACCAGTGCTCCCAGCCAAAGATGGAGCACGCAAGAGGATGGCGAGAAGAAGGATATACGAATCGTTGGACACATTTCACGACCAGCTTCTGGTGAAGGAAGGCAGACCCCGGACCGACAGATGTTTTTCGTAAATGCTAGGCCCTGTGGACTGCCGCAAGTAGCAAAAGCCTTCAATGAAGTCTACAAGGCATACAATGGCTCCCAATCGCCTTTCATATTTGCCAATATCGAACTAGACACCCACATGTATGATGTCAACGTCAGTCCTGATAAGCGTACGATATTATTACATGATCAAACGCGTATGCTAGAGAACCTCAAGGAAGCTCTTACCGCACTGTTCGAATCCCAAGACTACACCGTGCCTATATCTCGGCTACCGGCACAAAAGCAACCGTCATACAAGCAGTTGACAATCAGTCGAGAGAACACCGTCCTTCCAAAGCCACAGCAGGCTCCATCTGAGACTACAGAAGCCGAAGAGTCAGAGGATGGCTCAAAAACCCCCAAGCCGGAGCCGAGCACTGATGATGACGAGGAACCAAGCAGGCCATTGAAACAAAATCCCAGGGGTGCTGCTGTCTCTCGAGATTCTATGAGTCGAGATGGACAAGCTGTGAACTTGATATCAGATTGGCTTGGAAAAAAGACAGAGGATCGTAGCGAGGAAAATATTAAAGCACCTGGGCCTCCCCCTAAGATGCCCAAAGGTCTTTCTAAAGACAAGCGGAGTCTTGTTGAGAAATTGAAAAAGTATGGCGAGCAAGCGCAAGTACCAGATGATATACCCGAAGAACCTGAGAGCTCAATGGAGACCCCCCAAGCATCTTATGCTGAACCTTCATATAAACCGTCATTACCTGTAGCGGACTTCAATCGAAGAATCACTGAATTGCATAAGCAGCATCATTCACCAGCAGCCGAGGCAGATGATGTTGACATGGAACCACCAATACCGGCCCTCGTGTCTCCTTCGAAATCACCCCCTTCATTGTCAAGTCGATTCTCTAACAGTGGAAGGCCCAACCGAGCTCCTGCTGAGATGGCAACGATTACTATTGGGGAACACACCGTGACTAGCTCAATAGGAACGCCATGCCCCAAAAGAGCTCAAACTAATATGCTGAGCACGACTCGTCGCACAGAACGAAACGTCGCAGTAGAAACTCCTAATCCATCATTTGGAAATCGCTTGAGCAAGCGTTTTGGAGCCCCTGGGACAGCTCAACGATCGTCACCTAGTGAAGATGGTGAGGGCACGGAGGGCGAGGAGGATGGTGGCAGTGAAAATGGAGAGACTCGAGATACTCCAGAGGAAGTTGAGAGTCCAAAACTCTTTGTAGAGGATGGGGTTAACGAAGGCCAGCAAGCTCAGCCAGAGACTGATGATATTGTGGAGGAAGGTGAGGAAGGCGATTCTGAAGCACGTAATTTTGCCGATCCTGAAGATGAAGATTACCTTGACGAGAGCGAGAAGAAAGCTCGTGAGGACGCCAAAGTCCAGGAAATGATACAGGCCGCAGAGGATGCTGCTGTGTTGCCTTCACAGGAAAACGTTCTACGAGCTAAAGGTCTACTCAAGGGAGGGTCTAAAAAGAAGGATTCCACCTTCAACCTTGTGAAATCTATGGATATCAGCTTCTCAACAATTAGCCAGCAATTTCACGCATCAAATCGGATTTTATCGACATTACATGACGCAACCACTACAAAAGAAGAAGACGAGGCTCTAGATTCCGATAAAGCGGAGGAAAAGCTTTCCCTTACCATCTCTAAGACCGATTTTGCCAAGATGAAGATCGTAGGGCAGTTCAACCTCGGCTTCATACTTGCTTCTCGAGCTTCAGATGCGCAGAAAGACGAAGTCCCAGTTGCGGATGATCTATTCATCATAGACCAACACGCCTCGGACGAAAAGTACAACTTCGAACGTCTGCAAGAAACAACCATCGTCCAATCCCAGCGCCTCGTCTACCCTAAAACTCTTGACCTCACAGCTTTGGAAGAAGAAATCGTCCTCGAAAATCTCAAAGCTCTTGAGACAAACGGCTTCATCGTGACCGTCGATGAATCTGGGGAATCACCAGTAGGACAACGCTGCCAGCTCGTCGCCCTACCTCTGTCCCGCGAAACTACGTTCTCTCTTGAAGACCTCGACGAGCTCTTGGCGATACTGACGGAGCATCCACCTGGTTCGGTCCCGAGACCGAGTAAAGTCCGGAAGATGTTTGCGATGCGCGCTTGTAGGAGTAGTATCATGATTGGGAAAACGCTCACAGGAAAACAGATGGAGAAGGTAGTCAGGCATATGGGCGAAATTGACAAGCCGTGGAATTGCCCGCATGGCAGACCTACGATGCGGCATCTTTGTGGCTTGGGAGTGTGGGACGAGCTTGGTTGGACCGAGGGTGATGAGCCGGACGGGGAGAAAACAGTAAAGACAAATTGGGCGGGTTATATTAGGGCGCAAAGGGATGAACTTGAGGAGTAAATATCGTGTCATGGTTTTATTTGGGAGGGTCAGGAGTTTCGGACATTGATCCTCGTATTTCATGGAGCATCTGGTACAAAATACCGTACTAAGATACCCAACCTCTAGTATAATCTGAACGCTTATTTACTGCCTTCATTTCCCTGCAACCCTGTTCCCATATATACGCCAACACAATACCCAACAATGCTTCCAAACAAAACCTAAAAATCATTTATATTCCGCTGACCTTCCTGAACCTCGTTCCCCACCCCTTACCCCCCATCCCCTCTTCAGCAACCTTCCCACTAACCTCTCTGCCCCTTGCCACCCTCCTCGAAAAGTCATTGCCACTGGACACCTGTCTAATCCCCCTATCACCCACAATAACCGGTGGAGTGGCAGGTTTCAAATCTCCATAATACCGTACATGGAATTCCTTTTGCTGATTCTGATCCGCGATATCCCCACTGACTTTGTTACTACTAATTTCCGAAAGCGGCGAATTAGTATTCCGCAATGGAAACGGAGTATTGTGCCTTGGTGTAGGCGGGTTGCTTTCAAGCGGGTTGGGGAAGTCGTCTGAGAGCGGGAGAGGGGCGTATGTTCCCTTTTTAGGGGAAGAGGATTTCGAGCGTGTTTTTGAGAGGGAGTCGGCCGTGAACCATGCTTCTGAGGTTTTGGAGACGGAGTGCTGGGGTGGTGTTGAGCCGGTTTGGTAGAGAGGGGCTTCGCTGTATGTGGTGGAGCTCCTTTCTGGGGCGTTGTAACTGTAAGATTGGCGCTTTGGGTCTGCTGCGACTGGGGAGTGGGGAGAGTCGATTTGGTATTGGCGGCTGGGGGACCCGGTGCGGGTGCGCGCGAGGGAGGAGGGGTGGATCTGTAGGTGCTGAAGGAGTTGGTTGATTGAGTTCTCGTGTGGAAGAAGGGCATGGTGGGTGGACGAGAGAGGTCTTCGTAGGGTAAGCCGGAGGGACGTTTGCTTTCGAAGGCCGACATGCGCTTCTCTTTTTCGGTGAGGTTTGTGGCTACGGAGGACATGGAGGATTTGTTGCGCTTGTGGCGGGATGTGAGATTGTCTTCCAGTGGGTTCATGTCGGGAGGTAACTTGGTGATTTTGCGGAAGGTGACGGCGAGATAGAGTGAGTCGGCCAGAGATATTAAATGTAATCCTCCACCAACTGTTGCTAGATAGAAGACTATTTTCGAGAAGAATGGCGTAAGGTCTTGGTTTTCCAAGATGACTTTCCATCCGTCGTGTTTCGTGTTGGCTACCAGAGCGCTGAAGGCATAGAAAGGTACAATAGATACATCAAAAAAGGCAGCAAACAGCATGTATGAAGCTGAAGTTCCTGGTGTCCTTCCGTGGGGCTTTCGGCTCAGGTGGTATACTCCATACACAGTGTGAAGTATAGCAACGCCAGGCTAGAGAATGTCAATAAAGGTTCATGAGGGGCATTCAAGGATATGCAAATAACCCACCACAATGCGCATAATCCAGCCCGCAGCTGCATCCATCCCTCTGAGTAAGATCAAGAAGACCAGTAGTCCGATTGCGCATAATATTTCGAAACATCTCAACACCAATTGAAATATCCTCATCCATTTTACCCATTTCTTGACTGAGGGGTTCATCGGTTTCGCATTCGTGTTTCCATATGGAACAATTAGATAGGAACTATGTGATCATTAGCAGATACTCAATGGAGATACTGCAAGACGTACTCTGGGTGTTTATTAAAAGAAACTAAAGGCCCGTTTGATTTTGGTCGCGGTGGTTTTGACTGATAGCTTGCGCGCGAGACAGCTTTAGGATCGAAATCTCTATAGGGACTCCTTGGTCCATCCGATTTGACCGGATTGTAGAGAAAAGGAGGTTCGACACCCATCGTAAGAGAAAAGCGTAATAGCAAGCTTGGCTGGGTTTAATCAAACGATTCTCACTGGAATGTGGTGTTTCTCAAATAAAGACAGGGGAGGGAGCTGTAATCGAAGACAACAAAACAGCGTTGTCAAGGGCAACCAGCGCTTATCGCAGATAAAGCTACGGTACCGCTACCGATCTTGAGATTCTTCAAATGACGTTGGAAGTACAAAATCATGAATGTTTCCAGACCATGGGTTTGCACACGATGTGCTAGGTCTCTGATAAGAAGAGCCAGCCTGGTCCCTCGCGCAACACTCTCTCCGGCACAGCAACGAGGATATACTGTCCACCCTATCGCCCATAATGGAAGACCGTTCCGCATGGCCGTCATCGGGTCAGGCCCGTCTGGGTTCTATACTTCGTATAGGATAATGTCCAATATCGAGAATGCTGTTGTTGATATGTATGAGCATCTACCAGTGCCATTTGGATTGGTGCGGTTTGGCGTTGCACCGGATCATCCTGAAGTCAAGGTAGAGCCTTCCTCCTGAACAATTACAGAGCTTGAAGCTAAACTTTTTGGTAGAATTGCCAGGAGAAGTTCCAGGAAGTCGCAGAATCCCCACGATTCAACTTTGTCGGCAACATCTCGATTGGGGATCGACCTGGAGAATTACCATTAGAAACTCTTTTGCCACATTACGATGCCATTTGTTTTGCTTACGGAGCATCCAAAGACCGGACGTTAGGTATTCCTGGGGAAGATACTTTGAAAGGCATATATTCTGCTCGAGCTTTTGTTGGATGGTATAATGGTCTCCCGGAATATTCTGACCTAGCACCGGACCTGACACAAGGAGAAGAGGCTGTCATTGTTGGTCAGGGAAATGTGGCACTGGATGTTGCACGGATTCTTTCGGAAGATGTGGATGTTCTACGAAAGACTGATATTACGGAGCATGCTTTAGAGGTATTGAGCAAGAGTAGAATTAAGAGAGTCAGAGTTGTGGGACGAAGGGGTCCTAGACAGGTTTGTCGCTTGGAGTATATATTATATTACCCCCAAATGCTAACTGTTTCTTCAGGCTGCCTTTACAATCAAGGAAATTCGAGAGCTAATCAATCTTAGCAATGTTGCATTTCATCCAGTGGATGATTCTTTAATTCCAGAGGATATCTCCCATATACCAAGACCACGTCGGCGAATTATGGAGCTCCTGAGGAAAGGCGGCAGTACATCAGTTTCAGAAGCTCTCAAATCTTGGTCTCTAGATTTTTGCCTATCCCCTAACTCGTTCAATTCAAATCCACAGTCACCCGGCCAAATAGGCAGCATATCTTTTGAGAAGACAACCCTCTACCCAGGACCATTTGAGCAAGATGCTAAAGCAGTGGAGACGGGAGAAATCGTCGACATTCCCGCATCTTTGGCTTTTCGCTCAATAGGCTATAAGTCTGAAGCTCTTCCGGGTTTCAAGAAGCTAGGCATTCCATTTAATAACCGACAAGGGCTTATTCCGAATGATGGCGAAGGACGTATTATCCCAGATACAGACGAGATATTCATATCTGCCCTGCCTGGCATGTACTGTGCTGGATGGGTGAAAAGAGGCCCTACTGGTGTTATTGCCAGTACTATGACAGATGCATTTTCGACAGCAAATGCCATTGCTAGGGATTGGCACTTGACTGACTGGCCATTTCTTGGTGACCTAGATGAGTGGAACGTCTCTGGACTAGGATGGGAAGGTGTGAAAGCTATAGCCGAGAAAAGAGGTTGCAGGAGAGTTAGCTGGGAAGATTGGAAGAAAATCGATGCTGCAGAGAAGGAGAAAGGTCAAAAAAGGGGCAAGGTAAGGGAGAAATTCACAAAATTAGATGACATGCTCGCAGTTCTGGACTAGACGGGCTCAAGAGGTTAAAATCATAAGTTGTATTGTACATTATTGCTTGAGCTTCTCAGTAAGCTCCGGCACCTTATCAAAAAGATCTCCCACAAGTCCAATATCAGCGACCTGGAAGATCGGTGCATCGGCGTCTTTGTTTATAGCTGCAATGACCTTGCTGTCCTTCATGCCTGCTAAATGCTGAATAGCTCCTGAGATACCTGCACAAAGGTACAATTGGGGTGCCACAACCTTTCCGGTTTGTCCAACTTGCAAGCTGTTATCAGCGTATCCACTGTCAACAGCCGCTCTTGAAGCTCCGACTGCTGCTCCCAGTGCATCAGCCAGTGGCAACATAACCCTGTCGAAGTCCTCCTTCGATTTTAATCCACGGCCACCGGAGACAACCTTCCCAGCCGTCGCCAAATCAGGTCTATCTGATTTGGCAAGGTTTTCCGAAACCCATTCTGTTGGGCATTCTGCCTTGGGGTCTACTCCATCCTCAATAGATGCCGATCCACCCTCGGCCTCAGCGGCAGCAAACGCGGTACCTCTAATGGTGATGATCTTGATATCGTCCGATGATTCGACAGTGGCAATGGCATTACCGGCGTAGACGGGTCGTACGAAAGTCTTTTCATCTTCGATTGCTGTAATGTCGGATATTTGCTGGACGTCTAATAGTGCCGCAACGCGGGGCATTAAGCTCTTGCCAAACGCAGTGTGGCCCGCAATGATATGTGTATAGCCGCCCTTCTTAATATTTTCTACAAGTAACGGGGCGTAATTTTCTGGGAGTCCCTATATGACTGTCAATGACTACGAGGCTTGCAAGATACCAAGACTTCATACCTTGTCATATGCAGCATTATCCACTGCAATGATCTTCTCGATTCCACTGACTTTCGCGGCCTCCTCTGCCACAGCTTTGATGTTTCCTCCAGCAACAAAGCCAATGATTGATCCTCCCAGCTTTTGCGCAGCAGTTACTGCACCGAGTGACCCATGGTTGAGTTTGCCATCCTTTTGCTCTAGAATCGCAAGCGACGATAACAGCCGTGCAAGAGCGGAGAGAGAGGCAACAGGCGTAGGACCAGTGCTTCGCTTCAATTGAGTACGCGCCTGGCGCAGTACCGAATGACCTGCTCGTGGAATCATCTTGACGGGGCGAAAAGGTTGAAGATACTTCAATCGACCACCATCCGGCGTGGGGACCTTTATATGATGAAGGCCGAGCCCGAGGTAGAGCGGCAAATGATATGCCACCCCACCTCTGAGGTGGACATGTCACGTGTAATGTGAGGCACCAAGGCAGCTATAATTTAGAGGATTTCTGATCGCGACAACTGAAGCTCTTCGCGACTCTCAAAACTCAATCGTCAAATTGATCTAAATACGCGCCTCAACGTCAAGACCATCGTCAACGTCCCGCGCGTTGGCCTACAACTGGTCATACTAAGGCCTTTTCACCCACACAACGCGCATGAAATATCCCCGACCAATTTCGGTCATCTAAGCACCTCTTGCGCAAAGGGGGAAGAGCCATCTAAGGGACGAACAGCAGTTTGCGACAACTTGAATTGCTTGGGACCACGAATTTGTCGGATATGGACGACGAATCTTTGAACTTTGGCTCGGACGCCGCTGGCGCCACACCGCGAAGCAACTCGATTCTTGCTCAGCCGCCGTTGCCAGCAGAAACCGGGTCGGGCGAGGAGGGTAGCTCTGGTGGACAAGTCCCTGAATGTATGTCTTTTTGATACATGCAATCGACACCACTGACATAACCTAGCTGTCGATGTTTCCATGGCCGAAAGCGGTGCTGACACGTCTTCTGCGCCTATAAACAAGAATGATACCTCTACCACAACCCCAGCTGTTATTTCTGACAATCCCCTCGACGCTCCCCACGCCCCTCGACGGGAAGGTGACGAGGTCAAAGATGAAGAGATGGCAGATACTCAGGGCGAGTTAAAGCAAAGCCAAGAGCTTGCCGCGCAAGGTGAAGACGGCCCCGTTGTAGCAACAGAAGAACAGGCGGAGAAGACAAAGGCGTCTATCGAGTCATCCGCACGGGAGCACCTCATCTCTCAATCGCACTCTATCATTCTTCCCAGTTACAGCACTTGGTTTGATATGAATAAGATTAATGACGCTGAGCGAAAAGCACTACCGGAATTCTTCAACAACCGAAACCGCAGCAAGACACCGGCTGTTTACAAAGACTACCGGGATTTTATGATTAATACGTATCGACTCAACCCAATCGAGTATCTCACTGTCACTGCCTGTCGACGAAATCTTGCAGGCGATGTCTGCGCTATAATGCGGGTACATTCTTTCCTAGAACAATGGGGTCTCATAAACTACCAGGTAATTAGCATATATGATCCTTACTTACACGTTGGTGTTTTGAGCCAAACTTACGGAAATTAGGTTGATGCGGACCATCGACCATCAAACGTAGGGCCACCATTCACAGGCCATTTCAAAGTTATCTGTGATACTCCTCGAGGTCTCCAACCGTGGCAGCCGCATACCGATTCTGTAGTGAAGCAGGGTAGGCCCAATGCAAATACTAACGAAAAGGCTACCGCGGGGAAAACCCCGAAGACTGATCTTAACCTGGACATCGGCCGGAACATCTACGAACCCACCGCGAGGGATGGCAAACTGAAAGCTACGACAACAACCGAGAAGCAAGCCAATGGAGACGGCCCTGCAACAAACGGAACATCACCTAAATTAATCGAAGATCTTGTCAGACCTTCCATCCCAAAGATCAACTGCTTCTCCTGCGGTATCGATTGCACTCGTGTTCACTATCACAATGGTAAAATAATCGATTCTACACCTGGCAAGAACAAGTACAATCTGTGCCCAAACTGCTTTGCGGAAGGGCGAATGCCACAAAATCAACAACAAATGCATTACACCAAGACTGAGAATCCAACATATACAGGCATTCCTGATCGAGAAGCACCCTGGAGTGATGGTGAGGTCCTTCGCCTTCTTGAAGCTTTGGAGAGAAGTGATGATGATTGGACGGAGGTCGCGGAGTACGTCGGAACTAGGACCAAGGAAGAGTGTGTGGTCAAGTTTTTGCAATTTGAGATTGAAGACAAGTATCTAGATGCGGAGCCTATCGATTCGCTTGGAATTGGCATGTTAGGCCCCGAAGGCGGCCATCTCCCTTTCAGCCAGGCTGACAACCCTGTCATGTCTGTCATTGGCTTCCTCGCTGGTATCTCGCAACCCAGCGTGACTGCGGCGGCTGCTAACAAGACGGTTGAGGCGATGAAGCAAAGCCTCCGGGATCAACTCGAGAAACCTAAATCATCCGAGAAGGGGAAAGAGAAGGACACTTCTGATTCGATGGAGATCGACATTAGACACGATGTCACAACTACGACCACCACGACTACCTCTCATTCTCAACTTGCTACAGTCCCACTTGCAACCGTTGCCGCTCGAGCTGGCGGCCTTGCATCACACGAAGAACGAGAGATGACACGCCTAGTATCCGCCACCGTGAATGCCGAACTTCAGAAGATGGAACTGAAGCTCAAGCAATTTGCCGAGATGGAGGAAATCCTACAAGCCGAGCGCCGAGAGTTAGAGCGAGGCCGCCAACAGCTGTTCCTAGATCGCCTAGCCTTCAAAAAGCGCGTTAAGGATGTTCAGGAGGGTCTGAAGGCTGCATCTACGACTGGAGGAGACGAGGCAATTAGACTGGCACAGAATGTGATGACTGGAAGCGAGAAGCTGGCATTTAATGGTGTTACACCAGCCGCGGACAGTGTGCAGCCCTTAAGCGCGAATGGGCAAATAAAGAGCTATGACGTTTGAAAATGTTATTGGGGATTTGGGAGAATGGAAGCACAGGATGAAGGGAAGGGGAGCAGTGTAATCAAATCTGGCGTATTGGGGTTGAATATGGATGCATGATTGCGAAAAAATCTCGAATGCGGCGCGCATCAAGCTTTTTCTTGTTACGAGTATGCGTCTACCTGTATTTTCAGACCTCATTTTTATTACGCTCTTCGGAAGTCTTGAGGAGAAGGATGAATTCTGGGATGTTTTTCAATGTGTATTCCTAGAGATAAATGAAATGCAAAGGTCGCTTACAATATTCGCTGGAGCAGTTGGAAATTTGGTTTTATCTAGTTGATCCTTTTATTGCGCACTTTGATGTTTAGCCTCTCTCCTGTTCCTCACGGCTATTTGCCTCTTCTTACTACCTTGCCCTTGCCCTTGCCCTTCGCCTTTACATTCCTCACCCTAGGTTCTCGATAGCTTGGCCTGCGAATTCTCGGGAGTTAGCATTGCTAACTGCGATAGAGAACTCTGGGGGGTTTCAAGTTCAAGCTCTCAAAAAGAGAATCTTTCAATCAAGGTTATCTATAGAAAAAAACATCAACGCCTCGAAATGCGTGCACAAATCACGTACATTTTACTTCGAACTCGGAGATCATAGGCCTTGCAATGTGTCGCTGGCATGGATAGCGCAGGTGTGATTTCGCGGGTTGGAGGGTCTGGTAGTGTTATTGCGGCGAAGCGGAAGAACTTTGTATTTGCGATAGCTGCCAAGTTCTTGGAGTCAGCGATGGATGGATTGATGGATGATGCTTGGATGATAAAAAAGGATCCGGTCATGTTGCGGAGCTCTGAGGATTTCGAGGAGGTGGGGTCTTACCAAGCGCGCGCGCCCTTGTTGTAATCATCTTGGGGCGGGGTGAAGTCTTGGAAGCTGGTGATGTGTAGAATGTCGTTGTGAGGTGGTTTGGATTTCTGTTTGCGACTTTGAGAGAGAAGAACGTTTTTTCTTTCTGGAGTTCTGGAGAAATGGAGATGAGATGTAGATATGTGTTGGTGAGATGAGAATCAATATGCTTACTTGGTATTATTGTTCTCCTGATGGGAGTAAATTGACTATTGTCTTGGGAGGAGATAGGACAAAGTAGTGAATTGAACTGGTTCCTATTGTGAAGAGTAGCGAGACAATAGATCTGAGCGATTTAATATGTCAAGTGAATTTGTGATGGCTTAATCTCAATATTCTATTTTAGTATCTCTTACTATTCTAAATTCTCAGACTCGCCAGATACACTTCGGTGTCCAGCTACAGGACCCTCATCATCTAATTTCTCGACATCAGATGGTTCAGAATTGCTATCGGTTGCCTCATGCTCTCCTTCACTTCCACCCACAAGCCGCTCTGACCTATCTCCATCGCCCTCACTATCATCATTGTCCACTTCAGCAACACCTCCTTCATCACTCTCAGCCACAAGTCTATCCGACCCATCTCCCTCGCTCTCTTCAATATCGTCACTGTACACTTCAGCAACACCTCTCTCCTCTTTGCGCATCGCACGCCTGGACTTCCTCCACCGGTTCTTCCTAAATGCCTCCTCAGGTATCGGTTCCTTGAAGACCTCCCATTCACTCATTGCTTCAATCCTTTCCCTCCAATCCTCTCCGTCTCTAGTTTCCCTTATGCCCTTGGATGCCTCATCCTGATCGACCAATTCATCCTTAATGATCTCATCCGGCGGCTCTTGCTCTAAAATCTTCCACAGCTCGATCTCTTCGGCCTTGCTAGCGCGCATATCATAGGCCTCGGCTGCTGTTTCTTCGGCGTAGAGGGCTGCTAAATGTGCGTGAGCGCGATTTTGCGCCCGCTCTGGGCGGTTCGAGGAATCGGTTTCGGGATCTGAGGTGAGGTTGTCTATGTCGTTTTCATCTTCTGATGCGTCGTCCACGCTAGAATCCGAGGATGGGTCTGATCGGTCATCAGCTGGACGGCTCGTGGAACGAGAGCGTGAGCGGAAACGTTCTGTAGGTTGCAGTTCTGATTCAACTTCGTCGTATGACATAGCTACATCTCCGTCCCCTGAAGAATCGTCGTTCACAACCCGTAACCTATTTCTCCTAGAAGCTTTCACCCAGAACTCGTTGCTATCCCCTTTCATTTTCAGAATGGCAACAGCTGCTTCCACATCATCAGGTTTGACTTCTGCGTGTTTGACCTTCTTAGACCTCGTAGCCTTTTCCCGTGACATGGCGCAGAACAGTGTAGTTTGAAGCAACCGCTTCGTATGATTAAAAGCAAGAGAGTGGAAATCTTCGAACGCCGTAGCCCGAATGGCTGGTTGTTCTCCCTCCTCAGCCAAGTCTTGCCAATTATCATCAACATTAGAATTCATGAAAACTTGACTTGAGAGTTCCAGCCAATTCCTGAGATTGAACAGATTGGTTGCCGGAAGTACTTGGTCGATAGCGGCTTCTCCTTCGCCGTCTCGTCGATATTTCTCTAATCGACGAGCAATGGTTTCCGTGACAAGCCATGTATCTCCCCATTTCGCCTTTTCCACCTTCTCTTCATGGAGCTCTTGGCGGGAAACGAGAAAATCCCCTGCTTTTTCTAAAATTGCACAGCACTCTTCGCTGATTTCTACTGCTGCTGGGATATCTGTGAGCGGGAGAGACCGATCCTCGTGACTGATTTTATCTACTAATCCTTCATGCAGAAGAAGAATGTACTCGTGGACTTCTTGTTCGGATTTAGTTCCAATCTGCTCCGCAATCCCACGAATATCATCTCTTCCCAAGCGCTGCAAAGCCGAATAAAATTTATCTTTCTCTTGAGACGTCCAAATCGAGATGCCAATTTGAGTCTTTGGAAACTCGTCCCAGCCGCGAGCCAATTTGGTGGTGACATCATGAATATTGGTATTCATAAGCTCACGATATTTGTTATTGTGGTAAGCCTTCAAGCGCTTGGCTCTCAAACCACTTGCTGGCTTGTGCGATTTCCGTTTGCGAGGACGGGAAATAGAGGGCCGGTTCAGGCGTTTGATCTCACTTGGAGATTCTGGGCCTTGGAAGGTTGCAGCCCATGATTCTGCATTCTGACGGTTTTGCTCCTCTATGAAAGCTCCATCTTGAGACTCTTCCGTGTCTGACGCTATGTCGCGATTATTACCTGATCGATCCGACGTTGCTATATTCGACGTCTTGGTCCTTCGTCCTTTTCCGGAGCTGGTAGCTCTAGGACTAGCTTTTCCTTCCTCATCAGACAAGCTTTGTTCGCTTTCCGGGTTCTCATATGCTGATCCTGAATCTTCATCTGGGAATGGGAAAGGCCTTCCCAAGGGATCTAGGTCCTCAGTCTCCATCATTTCGCCTGTTATTTGGTTTCAGGCGAGGTTTGTAGATGGTGGTTTCGACGGCAAACATGTTAATTCAGGTATTGAAGTGAATTCAGGTTGTTGTTTTTGGTAGGCCGAACTAATGACTTAAACGGGCGTCGAGCAGAACTAAAAAAGTGAGGACCTCTCTAGAGAGGGTGAAGTCGACTTTAAGTTTCTATGTCGATATGATAGAGAGGGGCGAATAGCTGGATTTTCTCGGGACTTTGCCTGATACATGAAGGCACAAGATCGCCCGAGAAATTTGATACAGTAAAGGGCTCGCCTCGCGGCTCGGATCGGTTGAAGCGCGCGTCAACCGAAAAAGCAGAGAAGAAACGACGACATCAGACTTTGGAATGCAAAATAAGACGTACCTATGCCACCAAATTCAAGAGGATGGCTTGCACTGTTTCGGAAATGGAAGTTAGCTTCTTCCATAGTACTTCCCCGCCGATATGCCACCAAGTCCACTGCCCTCCCTGGCTTGATTAACCCTAGTGGCCCTCCGTTGAAGATTCGCCTCAGACAGTACCAAGAAGAATGCATCCAAGCTGTGCTTTCCCACCTTGAAAAGGGCGATAAGAGATTAGGGATATCTTTGGCTACTGGAAGTGGGAAAACGGTGAGGATACTCTACGGCCTTATGCAGATTGAGCATACTAACAGACTCTTAAGGTTATTTTCACCCAGCTCATAGACCGTGTAAAACCCCATGCCAAGGGCGCTGACCAGACCCTTATTCTCGCACATCGACAAGAACTCGTAGAGCAAGCGGCTCGCCATTGCACCAATGCCTATCCTACGAAAACGGTCGAAATCGAGATGTCCTCTATGCACGCGAGTGGATCTGCAGATATAACTGTGGCTAGCATCCAGAGTATTACATCTGGGGACCGAATATCAAAGTTCAACCCAAATCGATTCAAGCTTGTTCTCGTTGATGAAGCACATCATATCGTAGCCCCCGGATATATGAGGACATTGGATCATTTTAAACTTTCGAAGGCACAACCAAGCTCCCCTGCTCTGGTGGGAGTCTCGGCCACTTTATCGCGATTTGATGGACTCAGGCTAGGCGCTGCTATTGATCAGATTGTGTATCATAAGGACTACATCGATATGATAGGGGAGAAGTGGCTTTCGGACGTTATGTTTACTACAGTTCAGACCAAAGCGGATGTATCCAAGGTTAAGAAGGGTGCTAATGGCGATTTCAAAGCTGGAGAGCTCTCTGAAGTCGTCAACACGGATGAGATCAATAAGGTCACTGTTCGTAGCTGGCTTGCCAAGACAGAGGGACGAAAATCGACGTTAGCTTTTTGTGTTGATCTTGCACATGTGGAAGGACTAACAAATACGTTTCGAGAGCATGGGATAGATGCTCGTTTTATCACTGGTGATACACCGAAGCCTGAACGGAGCAATCGTTTGGATGCCTTCAAAAGAGGGGAGTTCCCGGTCCTTGTAAATTGCGGCGTCTTTACAGAAGGCACGGATATACCAAATATCGATTGTGTATTGTTAGCCCGTCCAACCAAGTCGAGAAATCTTCTCGTTCAGATGATCGGTCGGGGGATGAGATTGCACCCTGGGAAAAAGAACTGTCACGTCATAGACATGGTGGCAAGTCTCGCGACCGGAGTTATCTCAACGCCTACCCTTTTCGGCCTCGACCCATCCGAAGTTGTGGAAGATGCGACTGTAGACGATATGAAAGCGATCCAAGCCCGGAAAGAAGCTGAAGAAGCAAGAGGTCACAATGCCACTGAAGTCTCGACCGCGAAACAATCGGGGCCAATCACAAATACCGTAACCTTCACCGACTATGAATCCGTGTTTGATCTGATCGAAGATACAACCGAAGAGCGCCATATCAGATCAATGTCACCCCACGCATGGGTCTGCATTGCCCAAGACCGTTATATCTTAACAAACTCAAACGGTTCATACGTAAAACTAGAACGAAACTTCAAAGAAGAGGCTGGCGACGACCAATTCCTTGTCACAGAAATAGCTGCTCTCAGCCCCGCAATCTCCAAGTCCCCCTTCTCCAAACCACGCAAGATTGCAAAGGCTCTCACATTTGATGACGCGATCCATGCTGCGGATACATACGCAGCGAAGAAATACCCCTTTCAATTCATATCTCGAAATCAAAGGTGGAGGAGCAAACCTGCGACTGAGGGACAACTTTTGTTTCTCAACAAGCTGAGACTAAAGGATGATCAGTTGGGTCCTGAGAGTTTGACGAAAGGAAGAGCCGGCGATATGATCACGAAGCTTAAGCATGGTGCTCGTGGTAGGTTTGCAAGCTTGGAGGCAGATAGGAGGAGGCAGGGGAAGGCAAGGTTGAAGGTGGAACAGGAGCGGGGATTGAGGGATCGGGAAAAGGTTCGCGTTGGACCTCTTTTGGATTGAAGAGCCCGTGGATTTCATCACATGTGTATGGTTGATGCGTGTGCTTGCGTTGTTCTGCGATACCCCTGGAGTTTGCATTTTATACTCCGTTTTTGGTCCCAAGGGCGATCAACTCATTACATATACAGATATACTGGTGTTTTCAGGCAGTGCTCGTCATTACAGATGTATCAATAGCAACTTTGCTACTTAGTCAACAGAGCAATACGATGGATAGCTTTGTTTGTACAAACTTCCTCGTCGATATCGCATGTTTGAAAAATGGTAGGGTCCTGCAGCATTTGATGTGCTATATTGCATTATTGCTCAAGTGAAAATTCATCAACATTGTCATAGCCCTAAAAGCTATATGAAGGACTCGTCGTTTTAGGAAGGGGCCAAGAAATAGGTAAGTGGCAGAATTTGGTCGTACTTCGCTTATAAGTAAGGTAAGTGCCATGCTTTACTTGTATGCCAAACTACCTACCTACCTATTCGACCTATTCACTTTCTATCTTAACGCGGCTTGACCTGCCATCTTGCCAACCCACAGTGAATCAATGCAGTTGAGCCATGACAAGATGGCATCGCGTGCCCCATCCCACTGGTCATCTTTCGAAGAAGTGTTCTCTGACGACGAGACAGAAGACGAGGACCACAGCCCGACAACACCACCACTATCTGCCACCTCCCAGAAGAAGACTGCTCCTGTGAGAAAGCCGCCCCGAAGCAGTCGACAGCCACCCTCCACCCACTATTATCCGGAATTCAAAGCCGTGACAAAGGAAGAAAACATACTTCGCGGTGGTTTCGGTCTGCCTCCAAAGCCTGAGCGTTCATCTTTCAGATGCTACCCTCCCCCTTCGAATGCAGCCTACAGCGTTGACACCCACTTTCGCGTCCCGAGACTGCACTGCGAGAGAATCGAACGAGAAGTGAATGGGCAGGTAGGGCTCGGCATTGACGGTGTGAATCTCGATTTCCAATCCGAAGTCGACGCCAAGATCGAGAATTCTATCAAATCAAGAGTCGAGGCAATGGCCGAGGACGGTAGCGAAGGAGCAGCTTCCGAATCATTTGGCCAAAAAACCAAAGGTCAAATGATGGCTGACAAGGTGAATTTCGAACGCCCAGCATGGGTCAGTGCCACTCCTGGAGTTAGTGGCGCCATACTTCCGCCCGACGAGCAGAAGAGGGACTTTATTGAGATGATTGATCAGAACGGGAATGAACGGAGCAATCTTGAGCTCTGCTACAAATGCTACAAACGACATATTATCCCCGGTTCACCTCTTACACTTGGCGACCGCGATAAATGCTATTCCTCCCTCCCCGATTGGTGGCCGAGAGACATGGGTAAAAATCCTTGGGACAAGTATGTCACCTTCTTGAATGAGATTGTTGGGCTACAAGATACCTTGAAGGGATATGGTCGCCAAAAGGATCCAGGTAAGTTAGAAACTATCGAAGTTTTGTAAAGTCTCTGCCTTGAGAATGCATTGCTAATCTATTGATGCTACAGCAAAGCCTCAATGGAATCTACATTTCCACGAAAAGAAGGGCGGTTGGACGACACAGCACGCACGCAGACATGGTGGATGGTGGAAGTGTCGCACTGGACCAGAGGCGCCCGAATTGGAGCAGAAATGCGAGCATTGTCACAAGCCAAAGACTCAAGCCGAGATAGATGCTGCATATGAGGCAATTCCCACTGCAGTTGAGTTGAGGAACCACTACGATTTAATTGACAGGCTGTTCGCGAAGCAAGGAATGAAAGACAAAGAAGCTGCATTAGTAATGTTAAAGTCACAAGGTATCTCACAACACCTCGGAAAGCCTATGGATGATGCGGAGAGAATTCGACTTATGAATGCGAGAGGTAATTGTGGTCCATCAAAAAGTCGGGCGGGTATTCTCCTCGGTCTGGGCGAGTCTTCTACGTCCCCTACGAAGTTGTGGCATGCAGATGACAAGTCGTCTATTTCTGCTCCTTTTTCCGCACCCACTTCATCCACTTCATCATAATGGTAGGAGATGGTAGTGTCAAACAAGACTCTAGTATTTGATCATGGCGTTACCTTGCATAATACCCAACACCGTGGCGATATATGCTTTTTGGCGTTCACTACAGACTTGACTTTGCGTGCAAAGCAGACTTTGTATTGGTAGCTACATAGAATAAGATATTGATCTCGAGTATTTGCCGTTTGCAACGTGTCTCGGATTTCAAAAGGCAGCTGGGCATGGCTTGTTAGCGGCACTGAGAGCTGTCTGGCGTCCAAGCATTTTTAGAGCCGCTTCAATCTTCCAACAACTGCCCCCTGCCCCCCCCCCCCCCCTGTGCCATAATCAGTAGCTCCATCAAATAATTACTACTCCCACTTTGTAAATTCAAGCCTGTTTATTTGCACTTTCTTTTTGGTATGAGGTTGAAGTGTTCAGCCCGCGTCGCTCGGTCGGTCCTTCCCTTTTTCTTGTAATTGCTTACTTCCGTACATGAGTGTACCTTCTTCATAGTTCTTTCCTTCATTTATGAGTGCACCCTATAAGTGCCACCATCAGATCTTTCTCGTCTCGGAATTCTCCCTCCTTTATTGTCACAACACTTCACAAACATAAACACACAATTTGTGCCACAACTAGTCACATAGCTGCTGCCTATCATCAAGCTCTCGTATCTTATCGAGACGAATTTGCAGACATGCCTCGTCAATCCAAGAGGAAAGTCAAGCCCGTCCTCACGGACGACTTCGACAACAAACTCCAACGACAATCTGAAAATGACCTCGCCGGAAATTCCGTTTCTGAAACAACATCCTCCGATATTAAATTCGAATCTGAAGATGGTACCGATACCTTTGTCCTCATACCCAGCTCTACTAGCTCTCGACGCTGGGCCTTTCCGGCCATGCTATTTGAAGATGGACAGAGGGAACAAAGTCATCACCACCCCAGAATATTCTCCAGGGGAAGCAAACACGAGGTTCAGAAGCTCAAAGAAAACGTCGAAAAGTCTGATCGTCGGTCTGAAGACTACCTCCTCGCGCGCGCGCCAATATTGGCGAATCCGAAACCGTAATCGAAAGTTTGAAGAAGAAGCTTGCTGCGGATGAGATACAAAAGGAAGGAAATTTGAAGGTCGCCGCAGACGTCGCAATGCGATATACGGAGCTTGACACATATCGACACAGGATGGAGACACTCTTCGTACACCTCCAGGCTTCTGTCGAAACTGCTGGATTGGACAGGAACGTTGCATCTCTGTGGATGATTCTTAAGATCTGGCTCGCTCGGAAGGCAACTGCACCTCCGACTACGGCCACTACAACCACCAAAGCTCTGAACTTCCTCGACATCTTTCCCGACAAACAATCTGCGCTCGGGGATTTCAAAGCTTGGATTAACTTATACCTGACTAAGCTTAACTCTGACCCTGCTCAATGCGGTGTTTGGATGAAAAACGTGATTTGGAGTGGATATCATATCCGGACGCTGTCTCAAGTCGAATTGAGCACTCACTTGTCAAGCTGGGGATTTGGAGCGTTGGAGAATGAGCTACTGTCAAAAGAAATAATATATGCGAGACGTGTAAGTAGAAGTTGTTTCGAACTAAAGAAAGTACCCAGCTGATGAATTTAAACAGATGATGCGAACAAGAGAGAGAGGATTCTTACTTGGGTTCGTATGGGGCCTAATTGATGGGGAACAAGATGACATTCAGCTGGCTTGGAAAGTCTCCAAGACTATGGTCCACCTCATCCATTTGAATGTTATGGTTTATATCATGTGGAAGATGTGGCATGATTGGTATTAGCTCTGATCTCAGGATCGCGGCGTACACCGAGGCGTATAGTGATCAGACCTGAGCATTTTATAATGACCACGAAGAGGAGTTTGGTTTGGCACTTGCATTGTAATTATATATTTGGAGGAGTCAGAAAATGTGAGTTCTACAACCACATATTCGTCTGTTGAAAGGTGGTGACTTGAAGGCCCTAGCACGGCCAAGTCTTAATAGGCCTTCTCAAGGCCGTAGAACAGCACAATGCCATAAAATCAAGTGATAGACAAAGTATACAATGTATAACTTCAAGCATGCTCAAGGCTAGACAATGGTTTTATATGCTAGCCGCTCTAGACATCGAATTCCTGTCGAAATCTTACACTTCTTGTTTCCATGACCATCATCCTGCCGTGTGCTAATATGTTGTTAATCAGACATAGCATATATTTCGAGCCTCGCCCTAGCTATGCGTCTTCTTTCAATCACATGCAATCTTATGTTGAGAGATCACGTGGTCGGGTAAAATAGGGGAGTTTATTTTATCTTAAGGTAGGCAGGAAAAGTGACACCGTGACTTCAGGTTGAAAGTTTGCAATCGGTGGTCGGTTTTGTAATTTAGTACGAGGTAGGTGAAGACAGGTATATGGTATTCGACTAAGCAAGATGCCCAACTCCACTTAAGTCCTTTATAAACGCCATCGCCAAATGCCCATGAAATAGAAAATACAGTCCGTACTTAATCTTCCTCAACAATGACCTCTTTCCTCTTCTTCTTCTTCTCTTTCTTGACATCCTTCTCCTCTCCATCTTCTCTATCCCGCTTCCTCTTCTTCTTCTCCTTCTTCTCCTCCTTGGGCGCCACAAACTCCTTTTCTCTTTCCTTCTCCCTCTCTACCTTCTTGTCTCGCTGCTTCTCCAGTCGTTCCTCCTTCCCAGCGCGTTCCTTCGCTTGCTTCGACAGCCAGTACTCGCCACTCTCAATCTGCAGATCCACCTTGCTCTTCTCCTGCGCCGGCGGGAACGGCGTATACGTCTTCTTACTCTTATCGGTAACCTTCAGCGGCACGCGACGCTTACTCAGATTGCGATTCTTGAAATGCGGTAGAAAGCGATCCCAGCTCTCGCCCGCCAGTTCCGGATCTTTCGCCAACTCGCGTTTTATCATGAGCTCCTTGATGTGGTAGATGGGGTGGATATTCGCCATGCAGTCTTCGATAATACGTCGAACCTCCTTGAGCCCTTTATACGGCCCCATTGCCGCTACCGTGTTTCCCTGCACCAGCAAATAGCATTCTGTAAGAAGTTCCAACGCCTTGAGCGTACTGCCCTGTGGACCGAGGATTCGTTGGCGGCGCTTCACGAAACGCTCTTTATTGCGCACCAGGTTGCGGATCTTGATGACGTCGCAGGCTACGCCGTCGTCGAGGATCTTGACTGCTTGGGGTGCGGGCACGCTTCGGGCGAGTAGTTTGATCAGATCGCGCGCGTTGAGGATGGAGGCTGGGTCGAAGGTTTTGCGGGTCGTTTTCACGGTCATGGAACCTTCGACGAGATCGAGCGTGCAGGCGATGCCGAATTTCTCCAGGGATCGCGTTATGAGGGGCCAGGCTTCACGGAGGTATACTTCGCGGTATTTGGGAAAGAGGGTTGCGAAGGAGGATTCTTCGGTGAAGGTTCCGCCTGCGTTGTCGGTGGGTGTGAAGGGGTCGATCTGGGAATTGTTAGTTTTGTTTTGGCTTGGGGAGTGCGATTATAGCTTACCTTCCACTTGTCTATATCATCTGTATCCCATGGTTTCTCTTTTTTGTGCGTGGAAGGCATCTTGGCTTCTGGTGGTGGGGTAGTTTGTAGGTGAGCTTCACGGTTAAAAAAAAAAGTCTGGAGCTGAAGATTTAATTGTAAAGGGTCGCCGTAGCTCCACGCTAGTTATTGCGGCAGCCAAATAGGAACTGCTATGAGTCACGTGCTTCTCTCACCATTTCGTCTGAATACGACTACGACTTACTATCACGAGACCCATAATATCTTTCGAAGAAGAAGACCAAGTATCCCAGGCTCTAAGTCGAGTCATATTCGTAGCAATTGTACTGTTGCGAACATGTGGCAATGGCTGCTTCTAGACTGACCGTAAGATTAGTTTTGAACTCAGGGGTAAAGGCCAGCCACAAACAGTCTTGAAAGCGTCACGATGTCGTAAGATTTTATCAGCCCTGCTATTTTAGCGTCTCGGATTAGGTTGTTTACTACTTCCTACTCCGTAAGGTAATTTACTGTATCGCGCGGACTGCCGATTGATCCACAGGCATTCCCAGGACCCTAGCGCGGATCATCTGTTATCAGCATCAGATTTGATAAACGGTTTTATGAAAGAGACCAGATGCACAAGATCATGAGGTTTGACTTTGGCATGAGGTTTTGGATCCTTCGCATCTGAAGGAGTTAGCTGAATCTTATATAAAAGCGCGAGACGTAGCTCGAATACTAGGACGTGATTAGGTATGTTAGCCTGCCCTGTCTATGGAGAGACATGAATTCTTATTGATCCGCTTCACAATCCGGGGGAAGATGAATAAGAGACAAAAAACAAAAGCCACAACCACGAAAGAACGACTATAACCGCAAGCCGCTCAGTTCTATTAATCTTAATTACGTTTACATTTGCATTCTTCATAATGGTCCATTCCATTGGGCGAATTGCGCATTTGTTGTACCTTGCGTCAAAAGAACCCCTAAAATAGATCTGCATATCGGGGTAGCGCGAGGATAACGGTTAAGGGGGATGGATAGCTAGGGAGGGCTGTCAGCAAAGCAAGTCCTTTTCCAAACCAAAACAAACCAAACACCAACCAGCTCAGCATCTTCATCTTTTTTCACCCTCATGGCTATCTAGACAATACACTCGCTATTTCTTGTACACCAGATCGGTTCTTCGGATCCATTGAGTCACTCGTTTGAACAGTTCAAACTTTGCCTTTTGTTGCTTTTTTCTTCACATTCGATAGATAATACGGCCCGTCCTCGAGTCAACAATAATACAACACCCACGATTCTCTTCGCCTTCCTACCTAATAAGCTACCTCGCTATACATCTTCGAACGTACATAATTTTCGACTTTCCTTCACATCCAAACGCGTTTTTCCACGGATACGAATTAATTAATACCCCCTACTCGCCCCCTTCGAACCGCAGACACGGCTTCTACACTCGCGCCCTACAGCATGGCCTCGGCCGTCGACCATCTACACTCGGCTCGAGAGCAGAACCGCGATATACCTTCATTCAAGTTTGGGCACGCGGATGATGGGCGTCACTCGCTGCCTGCCTTGGAGCCAATCTCTCGCCCTTCCTCAACCTCTACCCAGAGCTCTCTCCACCACAGTGCCTCCTTGCCACAACTACCCGGCATGTCGGCACTTGTGTCGGTCGCGTCCAATTCACCACAAATGAGGTACGTTCAAAAATGGGGGTTTATGGGGTCTTGATTGGGGAGGTGGTAGAGATGTAGACATTGGTTGCATGGCGAAAGGGGTATTTCTTCGTATCTTGAACCCTCCCATCCTCGCAACTTCAAGATGGAATGAATACCTTGGGGGCCTTTCTCGCAACGCAAAATTCCCTATCCGAGTATGATAGTAGACCTCGGGATTCTTGTTCTCGTCATGTCGGGGCGGGCATAGATATATTGTTACAGGATGACAAGACTGAAGGCGAGCTAACATTTGAACGAATAGGCCCTTCAATGTACCACCACCACCAACAATGCCATATTCGACTTCTTCACCCTCAGCGACGAGTGGAGGCGGACAGAACAACTCACTTGTAAGTTTCGATATATCTATATTTATACTTGGATCATTTCCTCTGTTCTCCTATATTATTTACATCTATTCATGTCATCCCTTTATTTCATCTCATGTTCACAATCTACCCCTGTGTGCGCTATCCTCCCATCCTTAGCTATGTACCTATGTACAGTCTTCAACCTTATCTTTATCTTGCCAAGGGTTACGGCAGCCGCGACCAACCGGATTGTCGGACGCAGCCCGAGGTCATCAAGCGATGTGCGCTCCTGCACTCTTGAAATTTTCAAACCTCCCTGATAACGATAAAGCCCACAATCTCCAATCTCTCCACAACACCCATCAACACCCACCACCACCAAAAAAATGCAGACCACCGCCCAG